AGAAGATCTTCCACAGATACAGACAGGCATCCCTTGTTTTGGGATCTGGAAATTAGATTTCGCTAAACGTTATCTAGAGATTAACAAGAAATAAACAGATTATTGGGATAAGTCATACCGAATTAATTCAATGCTCTTCTTGCATTTCTGAGATAGCATATCCACAGCACGAGCCAAACCGCTGATTTGCTACAAGAAACTAATTTAGCAAAAAAAAAAAAGAAAACTGAAGCAAGAGAAGAGGAACCTGTCAATCAGCAGTATATGATAACAGACAGAATGAATACTGTTTGAAGTATTACCTTTCCACTGGCACGGCTACTTTGTTGGGATAAGCGTGAGATATCTTGTACAACACCACGCGAATATTCAGCCAGTACTCGTTGACTGGCATGTTCGGCTTCTTCAACGGCTAGTGATTCTTGGGATCGATTTCGTACCATATCACCAAAACCATCTCTCTGTAAAGTAAAACAGTCATCTTCTAAGAGATAGTTAACAGCTAACTCGGTTGGAGCACCATGCCATGAGAAGAAAGACGCAAAATAGATTCTACTACATTTGGTGCAACTGCACATTATGCAAGAAATCCAAAAAGTCAGAACTTATACTACAAGAAAATGCAATTTTGCATATTCACCTGCATGCTGTAAAAGGACCGCCAAAATTTGTGGATTTTTATTTTCGCAGAAGCGAATATCTTCAATATTATGTGCATAAACGGTCAAAAAACTTGAAAAGCAATTGAACCACTTCCACTTTGAACCAAAAATATGAAAGACATCTAATTGAAGAATATATCTTAGGTAAAAAAAAACTGGACTAACTCCAAAATAATAAGAGACAGATGGTGCTCAGAACAAATATCAAGTGATATTTTTTTCCTCAAAAATGCCGCTGTACTCACCCTCATTGGTTTCGGCATCACAGGTCCTACATGGAAGGATATTGATCGATTCGACATAAATTGTTCTCCCCTGAAAAGATTTGGATCCATATTTGCTCTCTTTTCCATCTA